ATGTTAATACCAGTTTTAATGAGTTGTTGAGTCATCAGTGTCCCAGTGTTCAAGATTGCTGATTTGCGGCATAGGGAACTAAGGATTGGAATGAGACACAGCATTAGTGAATTCCCCACTCAGTTTCTTGTTTCGTTTTTTTTCAGTGTGTTGAACTCTTAGGTTAGGTGTGGCGATTACAAGATTATTCTCATTGCCAACTGTATCTGTGTTCTCAAAATTATCTTCTCGTGCATACTCACATTCTGAGTATGCATAAGTCATAAGTCTCATTCTTCATCTTCTTCAGTTTTATGTTTTTATTAGATTTTAAGAAAGCCTTCATTTGGGACAAGGATTGAACACATTATATACACAAAAGGTGTTTGAAAAGTAGCAAAAATAATGATGAAGTCATAGTAAAAGCTGTAATGTGTCCTTCATACCTGTTAGTTTTAATAAAAATCAACCCCTGGGACATATAAATGCTCATAGCTGCACTGTTAAAATTTTTAATGTGAAATTACAGTATATTCCAGGTTAATAATTGCATTACTTTCACAGTAATTTCACAGTGGCACTTCTCTTGCATCTAACTGCACTCTCAGAAATGTATTGTAAGCAAACAGCATCATGCTGTGTTTCTACAGTGCAGATGTACTCTGAAGGTTCCCAGCATGCAATGCAATATCAATAAATCATGCTGTAGTTTTTTAATTCTTGTTGGTTTTATTTGTGCTACTGAACTTGTTTTTGGTTCACGTTTAGCAGTTTGTGTTGTTGGTTTATGCTGTAAGTGTCGTTTTTATTTGTTGAGTGTTAATATTGTTGTGTTTTGTGTGTCGAGTATTGATGATGTCACATCTCCGATTATGTCAGTTTCTCAGCATCCACAAACAGCTATGAATATGAAATAAGTTATTGATTAATCTTCATGCTCAAATATTGCTAAAATAAAATCCTGTTTATGCTAAGAATAATTTAACTATCTTAAAGTCAGACAATTAACTTATTTCATATTCTAGCTTGTCATAATGTTAACAAATGTTTTCATTTGTCACACTTCTGACATGACTAGATCAGAAATTTGAATATGAATATAAAGGTCAAAGAGCCCAAACTAATGAGATCACCAATCACTATTATGGTGACTTCATAACAAGTACAGTAGTAAACAACTAAATTTCTCACAGATGCAGTTAAAGACAACTTTATAATGTGAATTCACAGTAAATCAAGAGCAGTACATAACTGATGTTAGCATCATTCTGCTGTTCATTCACAGTCATTTGTAAGAAAATTACCCAGCATACATTGTAATTTATTGTAAAATAATACAACTTTAATCTTGGCAATTTTTTTTTTACAGTGCATGCTGTCATTGTCACAAATGTGTGGAAATTGTCATGTCCCATTTACTCATGGTTTCTGACAGTCTCTCTGTGTGGAAGTGTAGAAATTTGTGTTCAAATACATCAGGATGCAAATTGTTGAAAGACGAAATGCTCTCCTGCTGTCTCCATAATGTTCAGAACTTCTGTTCAGACAGTTCTCCTCTGTCTTCTTCTTATTACCCATCAGGTATTGCAGCTAGGCTGTGACATCCTCCCGCAGTACAAGCAAGAGGCTCCGAAAACACCTCCTCACATCATCCTGCACTACTGCACCTTCAAAACTACCTGGGACTGGGTGATTCTCATCCTCACTTTCTACACAGCCATCATGGTCCCCTACAACGTGTCCTTCAAGACCAAGCAAAACAACGTCACCTGGCTGGTAGTGGACAGCATTGTGGATGTGATTTTCCTGGTAGACATTGTGCTCAACTTCCACACCACCTTTGTTGGACCTGCTGGGGAGGTGATTTCAGACCCAAAGCTCATCCGGATGAACTACGTGAAGACCTGGTTCGTCATTGATCTCCTCTCCTGTCTTCCTTATGATGTCATTAACGCCTTTGAGAACGTTGACGAGGTGAGTGTTCTTCTCTACACTGTCAAACGCTTGTCAGTGCTGAAGACAGACGCTCCTGTTAAACAGGCTCCCATGATTTGCTCTTTTTGGAAGTCTGACAAGTCACCCATTTCACCCATAGCTTGTACTAAACACTGCTGAATGCAACTTATACTACAATTATATACAATGTTTACTAGATCTAAATCAGGATCACTCACATCATTGTTATATATCATAATGTCATAACTGGCTCTATTGTAAAGCACTAAGGCATTAGAGACATATAAGTTTGACATTCTGTATGACATTCTGTTTGACTTGACATATTAGTATCTGGAGTAGCAAGGCACTAATATTAACCTTTTAGGGGTAAATGGGATACAAAGACTCACTGAAGCTATTCCCCCAGTAACACGCTGTTGTACCCCTAAAGGTTTTCCTCTGAGAGTGTAAAGTTTTGCAAGGCAGCTGTGCTTAAAAAAAAAAACAGGAATTTTGAAGTGGTGTCTGCAAGCTGTGTCAGTCCCAATCTTTCTGCTGAAATTGCATTATCACCTCACAGTCAGTCTTGATGGCTTTGCCTCACTGAAGCGGTGTTTTCAGGCTTGATTTCATCCTAGCATGTCAGGTATTTCCCTCGGGACATCTGTGAATGAAGCTGGCAGTGATTTTCTGTGAGTAATATTGCAACATCATGCATAGATTCTTTAAATTGCTGTGGTTTACCGCAGAAGGAAACTGCCACAGGTGACACAGGCTTTACACCTTTACAATATATTATTTTTAAATATATTATTAAAAATATACAAAAATGGCAAAAAATTTATTTATGTAAATATATTTTCTACCAATATATTTTCACAATTTTTTGTTTAATTTCGAAAATATATTTTAAATATACTGTATAAATATATTTTTTAAAAACATTTAAAAATATATTTTGACCTCTATATATTTCAGTCCAAGAAAATGCATTTTCTTGCCCCAGAAATACATTTAGAAATATATTTTTGTATATGAAGTTTGAAACTAAATATATTTCCTATTTCAAAAACAAATTTAATTTTAAATATATTTTGGCCACACATTTTTTTTATTTATTTTTTGCCAATGGGGTGTGTTTCCTGTAAGACTGCAGTGGAAATATGCCAAATGTAGGAGCCACGTAGATGAATAATTAATGTTGGAATCAAACTATGGAAATTTACATTCTCTGAATACTGGAAAAGGAAACAGACTCTCATAATCTCGTTGTGTTCACTCTGTACAAACAGCACTTTAAAGACACCAGGATGTTGGAACAGGACACTCTTGCACTGACAGCTGTATATTGTAAAATGTCTCAGTGCCCCAAACATTGCGTTTTTAAGTAGTGGAATAGTCTACTAGTCTATAAATAAGTAAAGCTTTTTAGAAGGCACAGTGAGTGACAGGTTGGATTTTAGGTATTAAATATCAAACTAGCAGCTTTAATACAGATCTTTGCTACTTATTTTACTTATCAGAAGTATTCTTGGGTGAAACTAAATACTCAGTGAGAAAAAGGGTGGACTTGTTTGTATTTTTTAAAATCTGAAACTGTATTGGAAAATGAAATATATATATATATATATATATATATATATATTTTTTTTTTTTTTTTTTTTTT